AATCAGACCCTTGTGGTATCCTTCCGGTCACTCCGGAAACCACTCCCAATGCACTTCAAATTCTCCCAACGCACTTAGAGAAATTCCACGACTCGGATCACTGCTGGCAGTGGAAGGTGCCAAAGGCAGAAAGGGCAAGAGACGGAAAAAGGGGTGAATCCGTTGGTTCGCCACCACGGATCGGACCAACCTAGTCTTGAAACGGCGTCGGCCCAATTACTCTTAGACGGAATGTATTCCCAATACATCCAAGTACGCAAGGCGTACAGCATGACATGAATCAAACCGCACATGCGCTCCAGATCGGGTGACTGGGAACGGCCCCGGATCAAACACATGAGGCTAGCGACGTTATCGATCAGCCAAATGCCTCGGCGACCCCGAAAGGCCTGCGCCCGATACGTGAGGGCATAAATGATCATCACCATCTCCAACTGGGCTATCTGCCTATCGCCAGGCTCCCACAGCTGGTAAACTTCCTGAGGAATATTGGCGATGAAGGCTTCCCGAACCGGTCCCACCGGATCGTGCCATACGATTAAAAATCCTCCTGTGCCCTGCTTTGGTTCCTCCAAAGCTGCGTCAGAAGCTGCAGCTACAACAAACCGCAGACACTCGGACGGCCTCACCGGAAGTTCACGACAGGGTCGATGGCGAAGGATGGAGTGAATCACATCGAAGTTGCGCTGAAGCTCTGGAGTGAGGTCGCGGTTGCGTTCTGTCTGGCGTGCTTTGATGGCTGCCAAGCCTGCGCAACCCAACCTGCCGTACATGCCCTGCTCGAGAAAATTGAGCATGCCGTAGAGCTTGGATGCCTGGCCTGAGGACAGACTATTGTGTGCCTGAGCTTCGGTAATCATCGCAGCTGTCTTCTGAATCAATCGATCTCGGGCCCAAAACGTCACGAAGCCCCGGCTTAGGCTCGTAAAGTCGTGATCAAGACCCAGAAAGGTACCGGTAGGCTGCATCAACTGTTTCTTCTCCTCGGCGAACGGGGTACCTAAGAGGGAATTCAACTGACAAAAAGCTTGTTGGCTGGAGCCGAATCCTGACTGGAGGTCCGTGATGTGGGCATCGTCGAAATAGAGCGACACCAGACTGTAGGTAAGCCGTCGGCCCAGGGCTTCAATGAAGCGGGAATACCGATTGAACGATGTAACCGCGAGCGGAAGGCCGAAGAGGAGGGATGAATACACCTGAAAGGCGGGTTCCTCCCGCTCAGCATGCCAGAAGCAGACGATACAGCCGCGGCTCTCTGCCTGACTGATAGGGGAATGCCGATAAGCGTTCGGCCAATCTTCCCCTCCTGACTGCCACTCGTCGTCAGTCGTAAGAGTGTGCCACTGTTCGTCTGTCAGAAGCGATGCTACCGCCCCCACATGTTGCGCCGGGCGCAGTGGCGAGCACAAGACCAACTTGTTCCAATCCGAAGAACGCTCCGACTGGCCTCCTGTATCTCCATTGTCAATAATCCGCTTTTTGCCCGAGGATTGCACAATCACACATCTGGGGATGAGGCGGAATGGTTCTCCTCGTAGTTCTCGTAGGAGCTGCGCATGAGTCAACGGTGCAGAGCAGAAACCCTGGGCGGCATCGTTCAGCGATTGCTCCAGCAGCACGGCATCATGTCTGCCGGGTTTGAGCGAGGCGAGAGTCTTGTAGTTGTGGGTTTCCCAGTCGTCGAGCACGTCCTCCATGGTGAGGATACGCCCTGGCTGTTCCGGAAAGACCCCGTAGGGTGGTGCCGTACCTACAGCTGGCAGTCCCGCTACCAAGCCGTAAGGGTACGTGATATCCGCCCAGGAAGTCAGGGTCACCAAGAGGGCCGTTAGTCCGATGTCCCGGGAACGGGTGACTGCCCGAATCGCTGATGTTTGGAAAGTCCGCAGGCGCTCGCCCACGCTCCTCCATCGCTGCTTCAGCTCCTTCAAGATGCCTAGGCTCTGCTCGCGGAGTCGTGGTAGGTCCTCGGAACGTGATGCATAGAGTTCGGCCACAAACCAAAGATCATCGTCCAGGAGGGGCGACTGCTCAGTCGGGATGGGTGCTTGGCTTCGAAGGCAAGCTCGCTGAAAGTGGGTATCCGGGTCCAGCCCAAAACTCAAAAGCGGAGGTAGGGCGGCTTTATGGCTCAAAGCTCCGGCCTGCTGGCCTTCGGCATGACGCTGCCGCTGTCTCAAAGCTGCGCTAGCCAAATGTGGTCCCAGGGGCCCATCTGCCTTGAGATCGTGCTGGTCTCTCCAGCGTGGAAACTCACAGAACGGTGCCTGGTTCAGGAGGTCTTCGATCATCGGGAACTTGAAGTCTTGGAACCATGTACCTGGGAAGAGGCGGCGGAAGCACGTGACAACGCCTTCTTGGGTGAATAGGCCAACTCGTGCTGGGATGCTCGCGGCCACTCCTCGGCTTGAGATGACCCCCAACCGCAATGCTCGAGATGCTGTCGAGTGATGCCGCTAGTTTGCCCGCCTGCCGCTGCCAGGTAGCGAGGTGCTTCCGGGGCTGTGGCGTCGAAAACCAGTCCTGCCAGCGCATCGGCTTCGCAAACGTCGCTGTCATGTGGGCAATCACAGGCTAAGGTGCAGCCCGCCAGCTCTGGGAGCTCCGCCGCCTTGGATGACATGATGAACTCAACATAGCAAGGAAGCCATTCATCTGCGGTACAATCATGTCCTGGGGTGTACGGAGAGCACCATTTCGACAGGGGCAACTTGTGGCTGTGATGCCCTCGCCCTACGTAGATGCACTTGGCGGGAAGTTGGCCATCCACCAAGAGGTCAACGCCGCGGCGCACGCGAGGCACCCGTGCACGCTCACGCGGGTCGATCGGTCGCAGGCCCAGCTGGATCGCCAAAGGAGTCATGGCCCAACTGCGCATCGAGCGGGGATCATAGTGAAGCCAGTGTTCCCGGCGGCCCACAGCCTCAGTCGGCGGCATCCGAGGGACGCGCAACTTGGCTCGACCGACACGCACTGCCCACCAACTAGTGGACACCGCAATGGCGAAGGCCAGCGGGGCTGTGTACTCGGCTTCCTCATGGCTAGGGAAAACTCGCTGCCCGTCCAAGGTGTATGGCTTCCACTCATCTGGGTCGTGCTGATGATGGCATTGGAGTGGCGGCCACTGGGAGATCTCCTGGATGTTATGCCTGAGTCTCTGCTGCTTGCACCGTGCCCCCCATGAAGCAACATGCTGCGTAGCAGGTGTCCTGCCAATCGCCGGATGCCAACATCTGCTTCTCACGGGGCAGCTCCCAATGGAGGCTCCTCGCCGGGTTCTCCCGCAGCGACACTCCACCACGATCGGCCAACTCCTGGATCTCTTGGAGGACAAAGTCACAGGCCTGGTTGTCCTTGGTCACTCGCCGAAGGTCACTCCCTCGGAGGTGTGGAAGGCCTGTAGGGTGTTCGTCTGACCGCAGGGGCTTCGGAGCGGGTCGGCCGTCCTCGAACTTCCTGGGAATCTCTCGAGCGCGGGACTTGGTGCTACAGTCCAACGCGGCGCAGATGCAATCGGCTTGCTGCAACATCTCGTGAAGCTCTTGCTGAAACTCCGGGCGTTCACCACTGTCTGAGGTTCCGATTTGGTCACTTTGACCTGCGCCAATCGAGTGAGTTGAAGTTTCCACTCGGCGAGGATCGCATCCGAGAGGTTCCCCACGGAGGGGCGATGAATCCCGGCGTCCTCAAACACCTTGGCCAGCGCTTCCACCCGCCTGTTCACACTGTCAGCACTGAAGGCTTGTTGCGAAAGGGTCACTCCCTTCCGAACAGGCACCGGAGGAGCGGGGAGGTGAAGAGCGTGTGCCGGCCTGTCACGACTCGAGCCAGCTTCCACTGTAGAGGCCGCCAACGGCATCAGCTCCTCGGTCTGCTCTGAGCGGGCCTTGGTCCAAGCATCGGCCAATCCCCGGCCCCCGGCCAACAAGGCCTCTTCCGCTGACCGAAAGGCAAAAGCGAAGTCCGCATCGTCCAAGAGGTGGTATTGCTCCCTGAACTCACGAACACGGGCGGCTTGGGCCACTTCAGACGAGGTCTCCGGGTCCCACCTGGAGCTCCCCGCTGACTCGACCGCGTAGCGCCCCTATCAGCCATGAGCCCTGCAAGGACTATCGCACTAGTCTGAGCCAGAACTGTCGATGCACAGCGGGCACTGCCTTGACCAGAAGTTGCAGCTCTCACAAACGATCGATCGACAGACTCGACAGGACTCGAACGTGGGCAGGCGACAAAGGAGGCAGAGGGGGGGGATGTACTCAACGTCATAGGCCACGGCCCCCAGGATCGCACGGATGGATCGGCCGGCATACGCGACTTCACGGGGAATGCCTGGGGTCCCAACCAGGGACGACCATGGTTCCCGCCATGGCCGCCTCCCCTGCTGCCAAAGCCGAACCAGCTCGAAGAACTCCTCGGTGTCGATGCCATCGTCCCCGTCGTCCAGCCGCTCCACGGCCAAACCAACGTGGACCGGCAAGATGTCCAACGGGCCCAGGTCAAAGGCAATCCACTGCAGCGCCAGGCGGTCCAAGCGCGCCGCAGAGGCATGGTAACGCTGCCACGCGACCGCTGGCCCAAGTCCCTCTTGAACCAGCAAGCAGCGGCGGTTCCATACGCCCACCCATGGGAACTGGAAGCCGCCCCGACGGTCGGTGCACCTTGCACACGGTATGTTGGTACATACGAACCGACGTACCGGGGGGAACCCAGCGATGGAGAGGGGCTGCCCTGGGGACCCCAGATGCACCAACTCCACCACGGAGGCCCAGAGGCGCAAAGCTTCCCCTTCGCGCCCCTCAGCAACCAGCTCCTGAAGGTGAGCGCTGAACTCCATCCACGAGGCGGCATGAATCACCTGGTACCTGGTGTAGGCAGCAAGGCTGGTTCCCAACTCGCTCATGGGAAAACAGGGTCCCTCCCTGCACAAAAAAAGAACTGTCTCTCCAAGGGTTCCGCCCTCAAAAAGAGAGAACAAACGCTATTTTGGCCAAGTCACTTGAGCCAAAACATTCGTTGGTTCAAACCTATGGCAGTAATGAATACATGTTCACCCAAGCCTGCCAGACCTGAAACATGTTTAGAAATCTGTTGTAATTCTTGTGATCAGTGATCAATGATGCTTTCGCCGCTCCATAACTTTGTGACTTCTGACCGAACTGAGCATGGTTCCATCTCTCCATTTTGCCAGCCAACAACTAAAGTCTATGGCTGAACTCTCTATCAGAGCTGTGCAAAATACCCACAGCCGCTAACGGCGCCGTAGCCAAAAACAAGGGATAATCAGTTGTGACCCTTCTGGGTGGCCAGCGTCAAAGCTGAGAAGAAAGTTTACTGCAAAAAGGCAAAGCCTCGGGTTCAACTTCCACGGAACAGTTCTCAACTCGGCTCCAGAAACTAAGTGCAATACAAGGCCACTCCCAAAAGGCTTATGCGGTACTGACAAAAAGGCTGCTGGTCAAGCACTTGACATCCACCAAATCATTCTCTTCTGCTTCTGAAATCCATTTCTGCAGCATGTTAGAAAATTGCCCTGACATTCACTTGACCTGCCTTGCCCTTGACATCTACCAGGATGGCCTAAACTGTCGTTCATGTTCATATATAAATTGATGTTGCACGCGAGGGGGAGAGAATGGGCGTTAAGTCACACAGCTGGTCAGCCTCGCCCTCCTCATCATAGAATTCACCCAATCGTTCACCAAGGAGAAGGCGCAAAAATCGTACAATCTGGCAATGCATCAGACCGTTGTTCGCAAAGAAAGGAAACAAAAACAACCAACAAGCAAGACTGACAACAACAATTCATGCAGTTCAACGCGCCAAGTCATACAATGCATCTTGCAATGCCAATAATGCTGCTCAAATCTTGCCGGCCCCACTGCTGACTCCGTAACATCTGGGCAGTGCTCCAGCCGCTGGAAGACAAGCCTAGAAATTCCTGGAGTTTCACGCTGCATGACAAAAACCTTTACAATTCTCAAATCCAGCAAGTCAGGCCTGCATAAACCAAACCAGTACCCATCACCCAAGAAAAGAATCTGGTGTTGACTGGAGCCTGCCATTAGTTGAAATGTCGGTGGTCACAATTCTTGTCATGAGATGATATCACCCAAAACCTTGCTTGCGTGACAAACAACGCCAGGGTGACGCGCAAGAAACCCAAAAATCGGAAGGCCATGTTGCCAATCATCGCAAGATACAATGCCTGGGGCATCCAGTTCTCTTCTCAAAACTCATCACAAAGTTCATCGCCTTTGGCATGAGTCTGTGAGGTGTGTCCAAGCTGCCTTGGTTATTTGCGACAGTGCACAGTCCTTTCTGGCTCTCACCACAGCGTTGATGTTTCCACTGGAGCTATGCTATGTCTTTGAACTCTGTCGCGGTTGATTTGTAGTAGTGGTCTGCTAAAGTATATATGTATATTCCTCGAGCGTCCAAACATGTGAGGTCAGGCAGGAATCATGAAAGGTCTGCAAGCCCATAACACGTGAAAGAAACAAAAATCTTTATTTCAAGCGATCTCCACCCTTAAAGAATGATTTGTGATATTGCTTGAAGAGGGGCATATGGGGTCAGACATCAACTCTATAGAATGTATTTCGGAGCAAATCAAGCATGTGTTGTCAATGTTCTAGCCTTGCCCTGGATCACATTGAGCAAAATAGTCACTGTTGTTTGCAGTGGAGGTGCTTCAAGTATGTTGCAGGGAGGTGCATCGCTTGATAGCTCTTTTGCTGTACTGTATGTGTTCAAGTGTTGCAAAGGCTGGAAGCATTGACAAACTTCCACTCGTAAAGTCAGTGCAAAGTGTCAGATCTCCGACGCGGTGAAAGTTCCTTCATTGGATATGTTTGTCCACCAAAAGTGCTCTTCAGGGGCCAAAGCACTTCAAGGGCTAAGAATCCCCGCATATGTACAACCGCTGTCACAGTTGGTGTTGGTTGCTGACAACTCCGGATATGCCAAGTTGCTGAAGACAAGTTGTATCACAAAAACCTCACTGAGCAATGAACACTTCACACAAGTTGCATCCTTCATCGTGAAGATCAACTTGCACTTTCCCGGGAAATCAATACAATAGTAATATAAGTTCTGCAAATGCTATGGTAGCAAGAAGTGCGGACGCACGAGGTTCCGACTTGTTCGAAGTGTCGCTCGCAAAGTCGACCCTTTTCGCAACCACGGCTCTAAGTGCTGCGGCACCCACCCTTGTCTTGAGGCGGGCGTTCGTGAACTGAGGTCGTGACGGCCCTGCATGAATGCATGGAGTGCAATTCACACAGGTGAAAGGGGGAAAACACTTCGGCCGTCCAAGACCTTCAGCCTTGTCCATCGGGCACCAAACCTGCCTGTCGCATTGAGGCCGGCCATGGCCCAAAGTAGCCGTGCATCCACGGCAGGAGAAAAAGCTCGTTGCGTGTACGAGCTTCGTACAAAACATTTCCATGATGGGTGAGAAACATCTGGATGTCATCCGCCAAGGTCCTCTGGGTATTCGGGTGAAGTCTGTTTGGCGTGATCTCCATCGATGCACAGGTCGTGCACCACTGGTAGACTCTCTCGTCCGAGGCTTGGTTGACCAGAATTCTGCAATCTGGCCTGAGGTGCCACACTCGCCCTCTCGGGGCTATGAAGATCTTGTCACTTCTCGTAGGGCTCGGTCGAGGATCGCTTTCGCGTCTATGAGGGCCGATCTGGCCTCTGATTCCATTGCCGCGCGCGTGCCGGCTTCTTCTTCAGGCGTCGGCGGCACAGCAGCCCGTTGAGCGTGAAGTCCACGGAGCTCCTCAAGTTGGGCTCGAGTGGTCAAGCTCCTCCTGCGTCAGACTTTGAACTCCTCTCAGCTCTCTATTCGCGGCTTGGGTCTCGTAGCAGCGGTTGTGGTGCACTTCCATGGATGCCACGGCCTGGTCTCTGATGCTCACGGCTTCCCTGACCGATCGCTCGAGACTGGCAATCTGCGGCAAGTAGCGGCAGCGTGCGACCCATAGGCCACACAGAAAGGCGGCGCCAAGAGCCACCAGCATCAGCGGCCACCGCATTCCAGCCGTAGAGCTCGAAGAGGCGCTCTCAGCAGCGGCAGCGCTTGGCAACATCAGCGCCATCAGCGCGAGGAAACCATGTCCATGGCCCGGGACACGCGCGGAGGTTCTACCGGTCCGAGGGGCTGTTGCTTCGGTCGCTTCGCGAGCGGCAAACTCAAGTCCTTCGTGCCGGGCCTCTGTGTCGGGTCCCGTGTCCGTGGATGGTGTTCCATCCATTGTTGATTGTAGTGGGTCTTGTGTGTTGGTTTGGTGCTTCTTGTGTGGTTCGTTGCGTTTTGGTGTTTGTGAACTCATGTTGACTGCTCCATCTGTTCTCCACCGTCTTCTTTTTGGCGGCCACGTACTCGGGGTCCCAGGTGTATTTGATCGCTCCGCGTCGTAAGCGATCGGCCAGAAGTTGTCTGGCGGCCAGTTTCGCGAGGCCATCGCCATATTGGCGCTCTGAAGAAACCCATTTCAGCTTGCCACCAAAGCTCTCGACCTGCTGTCGAATGACTTTCACCTCCAAGGCGGTCCGCTTGTCGTTGGACCCATATGGTTGAAGGCGTCACGGTGGTACGTGTCGTACAACGCTTTTGCGTCGGTGATGAGAACCGGCTGCAGCGATGAGGTGTTCATGGCCAGGTTGGCCTTCAAATCAAGTCCTGGAGTCATCAGTTCGTTCCAGAACCTGACGATGAACTCAACACTGTCAGCTGCAGCTCCTGCGGCTTGTGCTTCAGCTGCTAGGGATGAGCGAGCAACACGGGGCAACTTGAAGGATTTCCACTCCAAAACATGGTATGGCGTTTCAACGCCTTCGAATGCTTGTTTGTGGGTGAGCAAGCACAGAAATCCACCTTGGCTGCTTCCGTCATGTCGAACTCCCTGCGCTGCATCAAACATGCAGGACAGCCTGAGGTCGCCTCTGTTTGGCGAACTTCAAGAGGCGGTTGGCTTCAAACATGGGAGCTGCAAGGCCTGTGGACATCTCTCCACTCAACAAGGAGGTGCTTGCCAACAAGTGTGGACTGCTCTGTACGGCTGGCCACTGAAGGCTTCCAAGCAAGCCACGAAGAAGACTCTGCTCGTTGGGAGTCATTGGAGAGTGTGTTGGTCTCCCCTTTTCCATGGGCTTGATCTTCTGGAGGTACTTTTCATGGCTGACCACCCAAGTGCCGTCGGTCTCACGGGACATGTCGGCACCGCAGTATTCAAAAGATTCATCTTGTTGCCACGTTCTGAAGTTGAACATTGTTTTGATCTCTTTCTCCATATGCTGGTAGGTCTCCGACTGAAGATCTCCACCTCCCAACATGTCGTGGACGTGAAGACATAGGAGGCCGACCAGCTTTTGAGACTGAGGCTCAAACAACATCCAAAAACAAGGGTCGAGCGAGCGCTGGCTCCAGCCAAGTTTTCAAAGCCTGGAACTGGCCTCGAGGAACCATCGCCTTGGGGCGTCAAGCTGGCCATACACTGGCTTGTGCAAAAACATGCGGGCGTCGGAGTCGGCTCCAAGAAGTGCCAAGGCATCAGCTGGCAGTTTCACCCAAAGCTTTCTTTCCTGTGGTAGTCCTTGCTAAAAAGGCTGTTGAGACATCAGCGGACCAACCAGTCCATCCCAAACAACTGCTGAGGCTCAGGAACAAGGTCTTGCCAAGTCTCGTGGAGGCCGGTGATGCTGTTCCAAGGATCCTGCTAGGGCGTCCACGTCTGCGTAGCCTCGAACAACGAGTCGAGCCTTGGCCCTTGGCGAGCCATCTTCTTGCTCCATTTGAGCAACATGCGACTGGTCAAGGTGCGCTCAGGTGATGCCTCTTTGGTTGTCTGGAAAGACCAGACGCCATTCTGGAAGAAGGATGAAAGCTCTTTTTGTTTTGCAGCTTGAAACAAAAGGCGCTGCTCCAAGGACAGCTCTCGTTCTTTGATCTCGCTCTTGTTCTTTTGGATCTTCTTGTTGGCTGCGGCTCTTTGTTTCCGACCAAGTTGGCGGGCGTCTTGAACGTTGTGTGAGGTCACGCCCATCTCTTTCCTGGTTTCACCATTCACTTGAAAGATGGTTGTCCCAGTCCAGGTCTGTTGAGAAGGCTTGCCACTGCCGTTTTGGATGAAGTCGGACTCCTGGCGAAGTTGGTTGCCAGAACGTTGCACTGTGATGCGAACATCATCCAACCGGTCAAGAGGTAGTGGCCGGCGCTGTAACTCATGTTTGCCAAGGAACTGAGGGCAAAACTTGGTCCTTCTTGGGATCAGACGGTGTCTGATCAGGCAGCCAGCGCAGAGGTCTTGATCCTGGGCATCCAAAGTGATGTAGCCGTCTTCAATGCGCCAGCCAGGTGGAAGTAGGCTAATGTCCAAATCATCCAACTCAAAACTGCACCCTTCCAATGAATCAGAACCAGTGGCTGGCGGCTGGCTTGTCATAGGGTCCAGCTCCATGGACTGCTTGTGAGCAAGTGTGTTCGAGCACGGCGGTTGCCAAATGAGATGGTCTCTTGTTGGTCGAACCTGTTGCGCAGAAGTTGGAATGTCTCACCTGGTTGTGGTACTTGATATAGAGCGGCTGTTGCGGGATCAAGTATTGGCGCTGGAGGTCGTGCTGGGATTCGCGCAGCAGCTACGGGTGGCGGTGGACTTGGGCTCATTCTGAGATGGTGTTGGAGGTGCAGAAGGTGGTACTGCCGGTAGTTCAGCATCAGGGATATCTGCCAATGGCTCAGGCGTTGGTCGTTCAAAAGGTAGTGCCAGTGGCTCAGGTGCCTGTGGCTGTCAGCTTGTTGCTGATGCTGGCTATGTGCTGGTGAGGTCGGTGAGTATACTCGGCAGTGTCTTCGACTTCAACCATGTCTGCGTCGCCTGTTGGTCGTGGTGGTGAAGCAACCTGTGGCGCACCAGCTGGTGCATCAAGTCGGCGACGCTGCAGTGGTGGTCGTGTGTCCTCCTCCTCTTCTTGTTCCAAGTCTTCGCCTTCCTCCTCCGACTCCACATGTTCAAGTCGCTGGCGGTTGACCACATTCAGATCCAACATACGTGTCACTCCACGACTTCGAAGTGCGGCCATATCACGCTTGGCGTGTTGGAGTCCCTCGATGAGGGTGCTGGCGTCTTGGTCAATGGCCGGTCGTAGATGGTGAGGCGCACATCGAAGGAGTTGTGACTTATGGCTGCTCCAGTACAGTTGTGGTCGGCCTTCACTGTCGTCTTCTCTCATCAAAACACGAGCAGGGCCTTTCCAGCGAATCTTGACAAGGTCGGGCGCTTTGGCGTCTCTCCAATAGAAGCATAGTTGACCTGGTTGAAACTGAGCACTGTTACATCACATCGCACTGTACTTGTTCGTTGAAGGTGGAGATGACCTTGGCCGATGATGGTGCAGCATGAGCAGGCTTCCGCATGTGTTCGCAACTGGCACACTTGTAGGTCTTTGCGACTTCGAGGATGGTGTCAGCAGCGCCTCGAGCTTGAAGAAGATCGCAAAGCTTCTCAGGTGTTGGGTGTCCAAGATTGCGATGAAGCTTTTGCACAACACGGACTGCTTCTTGTTGATTGTTGGTCAACAGCTGTACCAAACGACCTTGGTGCGATCGTGACGCTTCATCACCTGCAAAGCCATAGTTCCACGTCTGTGGAGTCTCTTCGGCTGCCAGGTTGACTGCAATGATGGAGGCCATTGCAGGTTGGTAGTCCTCCAAGTACTTCGTACGAAGTCGTCCACCAGGCATGTGACCTTCAAGTCGACAGTGGTCGTGGGACTTGTCGCAAGTGCGGTTCATGGCCTGCGCCATGGCTTTCTTGGTAGTCCTCAAGGCTGTAGGCTTCAGCACAGGACGCCATTGATGGTCAGCATCTTTGCAGAAAGCTCCATTGGCACATTGGTGGAAGTCGACATGAAAACCTGGCAAGAGTGCACGCGTCTGCCATGATAGTGCTTCCTTTGGCTGTTCCAGATGTGCGCGTCGGGCTCCAAGTACTTGTCTTCTATAAATCTGTCTCACAAAGCGAAGATGGACATCATGGTGGTGTTGTCGTTCTTCACGAAGACGCTCTTGTCGCTCAGGTGTGTTGGCTGAAAGGCTCTGCCTTTTGCTCCATAAGCCACAACGTGGTGCAAGGAACACTTCATCAGGAAGTTCTTCAGCTTGTTTGTCGAGCAGGGCCTTCCGGTGAGATGCAATGTCAAAATCCCAACCGGTCTCATAGCCAAACACTTCAACTTTGCAACCAAGCGATTGAGCGATCTCGGACACTCTGGAGGCACCGGCGTAGATCTCCCATATGAGGCGAGGACGTGGGCCGGAATGCAACTCAGCTGTCACCATTGCTTGTAGCTGTCGTTCGTGGTGGTTAAGGGAGTTGTCCAAGCGCTTCCAATCCTTCAGGATGACCTTCTTGCTTCCGTCAGCTTCCGACGAATGACCACTGTCCTGAGAGACCCCCTCAACGTTCATGTACGTCTTTAAGTTCACGGTGTAGGGCTCATCAGTGTCGGTGAGGGCGGAATCTGCCAGGACTAGGTCAAACGACGGTGGCTGACTGAGCATTTCTGGCCTGAAGTCCGAGGTGAGCGGGAGCAAGTATTCCCCGCGGCGACCAATGGTGATCTCTTGCCAAGGAGCGTTTTCCCACATCGTCAGCTTCTTTTGGAAATTGATGGTCAAACCCAAATTCTCCAAGACAGGTCTGCCCATCAACATTGGCGTTTCGCCAGGGATCAAAAATCCGGTGATGTATCCGCAAGCGTGATTGAAGAATACCGGGACTCGTGCTTGCCAGCGACGTGTCACACTATGATCTCCTCCAAAATGGAAAACTCGCTGGATCCGGGTGAGCTGGATGCTGTCGGTATCGTACTGGAGGCCTTTGAGGTGCTCAACATAGCGATGAAAAGGACCTGTACCCATGAGGTATGCTGAGGCTCCAGGATCGATCATGGTGGCATCCACTCGCTGTCGTCCCTGTTGGTCTTCAAAGATCACGTGTCCAGCTTCATCCATCGGAGTTGAAGAAGCTGCCATCCCTTCTGTGTGTTGTCGTTTCGAAGGAGAGGATGGCGATGAAGTACCACCTGAAGTCTTTGACTGTTTGGGACAGTTCGCAGCCATGTGACTAGATCCTCCACAGCAAAGGCACTGAATTGCTGCTGTTGACCGAGCACGAGGATCAGGAGCTTTTCCACCGGAACGTGGTGGATAGCGAACTGTGTCGGAGCTTGATTTCCCTTTCTTGCCGCCCTTGCCCTTGCGAGGTCCCTTGCCCCTTGATGGCGTGCGAGGTGGTGATGTAGATGGTGATGCATTGTCATCCTGCAAGGCAACGATGGGGAGATAGCCACGACTCAGCTTGAGATCAGCAAAACGTCTCCGAGCATCGAGGTAGGTGGCGTAGGCAGAGTCATACTCATCAACGTCACATTCAGCTGAGGCGGCAACGAATCCTTCCTCTTCTTCAGGTTCATCGGCCTGGAAGTAGCCGGCGTCATGGTCAAAGGTTGACTCATCTTCTTGCCAGGATTCGATGGGAACTTGATCGTAGTCGTACTGGTCGTCAAACTCCTCTTCATAGAAGACATTCTCATCCTCCCAACCTTCATCAACCACATAGGCACGTTGTTTTTTGCCACGGCCAAACGGGCGCTTGTCAGTGATGACAGCGGCCTTGTGATCTTGTCCAAGGATCAAGTACAGCGCCTCCTGAACCTTTTGGCGTTCCAGTCCAGGAGCTTGAGTGAGGATCATCTGGCGCTGTTCCTTGGTGACGTTGGCCTTTTTGAGGAGGAACCATCCAAGGACTTGCGACGGCAACTTGACACCATGAGCTTGCACCTTACGGAACTTCTCATCGAACTCGGTGCAAAACTGGAGCATTGTGGTGCCTCGCTTCCTGACTCCAAGGGTGAAGAAGTTCTCGAAGTCTTGCGGCATCTGTACCCTGTTGTCGTAGGCGAATGCCTTGTCAAGAAGCTCAAGGATGGTGTCAAAGGCTGTTTCCTTTTCGACATTCTTCAGGTCGAAGTCCTCCACCACTTTCCAAGCTGCTCCCTGCAGACTGCCAATCAGGTTGAGTGAGGCAGCATTCTCCAGTTCGTTTCTGGAGCTTCGTCTTGAGGTAGTAGATGTTGATGCGCTTTCTCCATTCAACATACGATTGAGGTTGGCCATCGAACTGGGGAATGTAGTTGTCCCTCAAGCTTGTCGTATCCAGGCTTGTTGAGGCCTGGGCGGTGGCCATGTTGGCCTGGGTGCCAGGATCTGTCGATCCACTGGTGCTGGGGCCTGTCGACCCGAGTTGGCTAAGGCCTGTCGGCCCGTGTAGCAGTTTGTTGTGGCTTGTGGTGTGGTGTAATGCTGTTGCAGTGGTCAGTGTTGTGCGTTGAGAGGTTGTAGTGTGAAAGGTGCCTGGAGATGACCCGGTTAGGTCAGAGCTCCGCTACCATGCAAATGCTATGGTAGCAAGAAGTGCGGACGCACGAGGTTCCGACTTGTTCGAAGTGTCGCTCGCGAAGTCGACCCTTTTCGCAACCACGGCTCTTTAAGTGCTGCGGCGCCCACCCTTGTCTTGAGGCGGGCGTTCGTGAATTGAGGTCGTGACGGCCCTGCATGAATGCATGGAGTGCAATTCACAAGTTCATTTATATAAGTCTTGCAAACCCATTATAATAACTTTTTGAGAACGCAACAGCCTTCCCAACCTTTCAGATGCACTACGGCTCCAAACATGATCTGCAGAATAAAGCAGCTCCATCAAGTACCTTGTCACACTTTTGAACCATTCGTAACCAATGTTTCCCGATTGCCTCCAACCTACTTCAAAACATGTCCGAACCGTCAGCATCCTTGAATCGTTGGTCACCCGAAAAGCCATGTTGTTCCGGCGTCAGCTCCAGCGCACACCCATACCTACGTGCAGTTTGTGGTGTTCCACGCGAACAGAAATAGAATTCACTGATAGGCACGGCACACCTCAACACAGCAGGCCAGAGTGACAGCCAACCAAATCAGCAGCACGCAAACCTTCGGCAAGACACGCTTTGATGCAAATAGTCCCCTGACTAGGAGTATTTCAGATTGAAGGATATCTAGGCTGCCAGGCATGTGACCGTCGCGATTCGGGCAAGTTCTGTAAAAGCAAAGCATCCTCAACGATCCAGGCTGCATCGTTCGCTCAACCAGAACCACATGCAGTTCAAAAACAAGTCGATGTCAGCCAACTTGAAGGCAACAGGTCTCTTTTCACCATTCTGACCATTCTGATCTTGTAGCTTTTCCAGTCATTTCGACTGGGCAGTATGAACAAAGCCCAAGAGATTGAACTGAGAAGACTCCTGACTTTTCCTCGGAATGTCTGAGTCTCCAGGAACTTTGCAGTTTCGCAATTCTCCCAGAACTTTGCTGCACTTTACATATTGAATGTTGGTGAATGTGCCTTAGCCTGGCATCATGGGCTGGTCTGCAATGTTGAGTCCTCGGAGTCAGCTTGAAAAACTGAAATCTCGAGCAACGAACCCTGACACTGGGAACCCCTGTGATTTGTGAAATTGTCCATAGAGTTCAAAGCGTGGCAAAAGGTTCCAAAGCCTGAGAAACACCAAGCTGCCGTAATCCTTTCGAAATGGCGATAATTCAGGTTGCCAAGGACTGCGGCGGCCTTTTACTTTTTCGAAATAGATTTCAGCCTCACACTGACACTTTCTCAAGTCACAGCAAATCATGTAGTCAATTGTTCTTGCCACATTCTCCCTCAATTCTGGGACCAAGGCTTCCTCGAGGGTGCGCCGCATCAAATACTCAAAGCCTCAATCACGGGGGTTCCTTGTGGTGCACACCCTGAGAAAGAAGTCGCCTTTCTCCAAACATGTGGCTACTGAGTTCGCGTTGGTGTAACTTGTTCATGTTTTGTACACCTCCGACTCCTCTTGACTCTTGAAGTGTTTTGACAACATGCCTGCTGCCTCGAAGCTGGAACTAGAAGCCGCAAACCCATGAAATTCAGAACCATCACGCTGCAGTAGCACATCGCGAGTCTTATGAAATTTCACATCGTGGATGGTCCTTGGTCAGCCGATGGCTGTAAGGCTACGCGACAACAAAATGTCAATGTAAGTATTTCAGCTGCTGTCTGCAGCCAAGCCTCAGTTTGTAGATTGGTTCCGACTGCAGAACAAACCACACAGGGTCAGAAGAACAAATAATATTAGTTCAAAATCTTCCAAGAAAACAAGCAAGAATATGAAATGCGGTTCCTTATCACCTACACTATACAGTATACTGGGCGCCTTCTTTTCAACAAGTTCTTTGAATGTGGTGGAGGGCGGTTTTGCCAGCACCTCCCAACAACAGGATACTTTAAACAAGTGAAAAGATTGAGCCAGAAAAACGCCTTGTACAATTGAGGAAGTGCTGCTCGACTGAACACATTGACGCACAAATTCCACAACAAGCGTGTGAAACCCTTGGAGTCACAGGGAAGCCGTTGATTGTGTTTTCTCCTCTTCTGACTTTTAACTAGCAGGCGGCGCGGGGACTGATTTCCTATCCGTGCCAACGAAGCTAATTACGGAAATCAGTTGGAAGAGAGTTGGGACGCCAACTCATGTACCTGCACCTGTGATGTTGAGTCCCCTCTAGATGACCAGGCTGTTTCAGGTGCTTTTGAGGTCTGCAGACTTGCACGTGACGTCGATCGGTTTCTCGATGGTCAATCAGATGTACATGGCATGAGGCATTCAGTCCCGAATGCAATACCTCGAGTGTGTCTGGCCTGTGCACCGGTGAGCCCACGGAGTGCATATCATGGCCCTGCTGAGCAGGGGTTTGTCCGTGTTTCCACTGCCAGGAAACGAAATTTCCAGAGCGGACGGAGTGGGCCAAAGTCATGTGCCATGAGGTGGTCGCAGCGACCAAAGCTTATCAAGGTCCATTGGGACCTGTCGCAACCTTAGGTGCATCACACAGCGTGTACCATCTAAACGAAGCCAGGTCTACCTAGTTTTTTAAAATCAGGTCTGGTATCGTCGGTTTCCGGCCCCTCCATTTGCTTCCCCCTTTCATTTTCTCCCCTTTACACACTGTTTTTTCATTGTTCGTGTCATGTCTTGCTGTCTTCATGTCTTGGCGCCTCATCCCTTCTCTCTTTTGCGTACACATTGGTCCGGCCCTTAGTGTATACGCGCACTCGCATTTTAAAAAATCTTAGGTCGCCCTGTTTTTTACAAGGGTTGGGTTCATTGGTTGTCCCTGGTCACTTGGTTTCTTCTCACATACACACGGTCTGTCTTGCCCTCCTTTCATGTCATCATCTTTTTGTCCGTTCCGCGCGAACACACGCACACCCATCGTAACCTTAGCTTCTTCGCGCCTCCCCTTGTGGGAGGTGTGTGCATGAAACCCTTGAAGTGTTGATTGTGTTTTCTCCCCTTCTGACTTTTAACTAGGGGGGCGCGGAGACTGATTTCCTATCCGTGCCAACGAAGCTACGGAAATCAGTTGGAAGAGAGTTGGGACGCCAACTGTTGTACCTGCACTTCGATCTGGCTGCGATGTTGAGTAACCCCTTTCTCCTCTAGACGACCAGGCTCTTCCACGTGACGTCGATCGGTTTAACCGCCGTACATACCTCTAACCTTACCTCTACCCTGACCTCCTAGGCTTTCAAACCTAGGTGGGCGTGTGGCATGAGGCATTCAGTTCCGTACGCAATATCTCGAGTGTGTGTGCGCCCCTTGTAGTCACAGGGATTGATTCTTTTTCAATTGTTTTAGCAGGGGGGCACGCTGTGCCCAACGAAGCTCTCTATGGTGACCTCAAGATGTGCAGCCTGATCAGCTGCACGTACCTGCTGTTTGAACTGTTGAACAAGCTTTGACTCCAATTTCCAGTAAAGCGCTAATGAGCTTGGCAGACATGAGCGTACGACGTCATCTCGACCTGCTCGTCGCTTTCGGTCTTGAGCTTTTGGCCCTTTCTCCTTTTGAAGACCTCCAGGCTCCAATTTGGTTTCTTAGGCTGGCATGTGGCATGTGGCATTCAGTTCCGTACACAAAATCATAAGCGTGTCTCTCCTAGTGAGAGCTGGGATGAGCCCGCAGAGTGCCTCCCGTGGACCCGTCGAACGGGGGTTCGTCTTCGTCCCTGTGCCCGGGGCCAGAGTAGCGTAGGAGGCTTATGCCAAAGTTTTTGCCAAGACTTGCTGAAGTATTGAATTCCAAGCTGGCTCATGCCTTTACGTGACCGCAGCGGTCAAAGCAGCCAGCCACTTTGGCAGGGCACAAGGTGACCGCAGCGGTCAAAGTACTTTTGAGGTTCGTTGGAACCTGTCGCGACCTTAGCCCCCTTCCTCCCCTCCCCTCCCCTTCTTCTCTCTTCCTTTTTTTGGTGCATTCCTGAATGTAACACTCAGGTATACCCCCTGGATGCTTGCGCGTAGCTGGGAACACCTGTGTTCGGTCTTTTTCCTCTCTCCCTCTTCCCTCTTCCTTCTTCTTTTGGGTGTCCCTGGATGCTTTCGTCATAGCTGGGAACCCTTCTCCTCTTCTCTTGGTGTGTCCTTGGACGCTTGCGCCGTAGCTGGGAACACCTTCTTGTCCTTTCCTTTCTTCTTTCTTTCTTCTCTCCTCTCCCTACCCCCCTCGTGTCAGGACCTTAGAATGGGACGCTAGGGGCTCCGCAAGGACGTTACTAGGTAAGAGCAGCCTTTTTTGGGGGAGGCGTGCGCGAATGCCCCTTGTAGTCACAGAGATTCTTTTTGAATTGTTTGAGCAGGGGGGCACAGGAGGCCCATGGAGCTGTGCCCAACGAAGCTCTCTATGGTGACCTCAGGATATGCAGCCTGATCAGCTGCACGTGCTGTTTGAACTTTTGAACAAGCTTTGACTCCAATTTCCAGTAAAGTGCTAATGAGCTTGGCAGACATGAGCGCACGACGTCATCTCGACCGGCTCGTCGCTTTCGGTCTTGAGCTTTTGGCCCTTTCTCCTTTTGAAGACCTCCAGGCTCCATAGGGTTCTCCTGGACTTTTCAGGATTTGGTTTCTTAGGCTGGCGTGTGGCATGTGGCATTCAGTTCCGTACACCAAATCATAAGTGTGTTTGTGTGTGTGTCAGAATCAAACACGTTGCAGCTGGCGAATAATCAGAAAAAACAATCATTCCAGATCCCATCGCGTCGCATCGGGCCGTTGCACTTGCGCAGCTCCATGGGAAGAAGGGGCGGCCGCATTTTGGTGGCCAGAATAGATACGCCCAGCCAGCTTTGGCACCAAAAGTTCGACTAAAGAGTCAGTTTTTCCGTGAGCGATGACAACTTTGCAACACGCTGCTTCGAAAAACAAGTTAGACAAGTTGCACATCACTAGCACCCCCTTAGGATACTACAAGAGGCCTGTGCGCCGAAATTTTTGGTCGCTGCTGTTGGCGCCACAAAAAACGGCACAGTCTGACCCAAAGATGCTATAGGGGACCATAATGTTTGGATTTGGAGCTGTCATCGTTTCCCATGGGTAATTGGTTTCCCGGTGTTTCACAGCCAACTGGCTACTTCGCACGGCTGCCCACGGACGCCCACGTTTGAATGAACGACTCTAGCACGGATGTCCTATCTCGCACAAGGAAATAACAGCGCGGATTATACTGAAGAATGTAAAAAGACATCCCACGGACGCAGAAGAAAGTAGATCACGGACGCCGGGTATGAGGTACAGTAATCGCAGCCACATCAAAGACCCCGCTGAAAGGGGGAAGGGGTAGGCGCCATGAGCGGGGCCAGCGCATGCAAGGGGTGGCAACACGCGGCGTAATTGATTTGTTAAAAAAACTTTGCCACGTGGCTCTGTTCTGTTGCCACAAAACCATTGAACATTGAAATGTGGTTTCGTCGTGGTGGGCCCTCGTTGTATACGTCTACCTTAATTTATACTGTACCCTGCACAAAGCTGCAACTCAAAACTTCAAACCTCTTTGCATCGTTTCTTTGATTGCCCAGGTCTCTCAGAACCAAATTTGCACTCAGCAGCCTCTTCATATGGCATGTGAAGATGGGGTCCTGGTTGCGCATATTCTGCTGTAAGCTTTTTGGCGCGCTCCCACACGTCTTTCGCCAGCGGGTTCTCCTGGGGAGGAAAAATGCCACTGTCTGATGCCTGATGTGATCCCAACTTACCACCAAACCTTGCCACCGAAGGCCCTGCCTGCACCAACTGTCCAAAGAGGGCATGCAACCTCGACAAACACGCATCATAAATCATAAACTATATAATGCTTTCCATTTTTGGCTGTGCGTGCGTGTGTACATTTTGAACTCAGAAGTTGCCCAGTGGTTGTAAAATGCAGGGGGGGGTGCGCCACACCAGAAGAGAGGGCATCTAACAAAGAGGCTCTTCAGGCTGCGATGATATCAGCAAGGACGCTTGCTGACGTAACTCTATCAGTTTTGACTTCGAAATCCTCTGGCCGCTGCTTGTAACTAGAACAAGACCTTTCTTAGCTTCGGCTTGCAATAAATTAAGTGCTAATGCGCTCGGCAGACTTGCAGCTTTGAGGTTTACGTTTTGCATCGCCCCTCCACTTGATACTTTTAGGAGTCAAAGCCCTGGAATCTTAGGTTTCATACCAGGGCCGGCGTGTGGCAACCGGCAAGGCAATTTCCCCACATTATGTATGTATGTATGTGTGTATGTATGTATGTATGTATGTATGTATGTATGTATGTATGTCTTCTGTCTGTCTGTCTGGTCTGGTCTGGTCTGGTCTGGTCTGGTCTGGTCTTGTCTTGTCTTGTCTTGTCTTGTCTTGTCTGTCTTGTCTTGTCTTGTGTCTGTCTTGTCTCTGTCGTGTCTCTGTCTTGTCTCTGTCTGTCTCTGTCTGTCTCTGTCTGTCTCTGTCTGTCTCTGTCTGTCTCTGTCTGTGTCTGTGTCTGTGTCTGTGTCTCTGTCTCTGTCTCTGTCTCTGTCTCCGTCTCTGTCTCCGTCTCCGTCTCCGTCTCCGTCTCCGTCTCCGTCTCCGTCTC